TTTCTGCAAAATTCAACGTTACTGAGTTTAAATTGAGTCAATAATGGCTTCCCAGGGCTTTAGCAAATAAAAGTTTCTTTCCCTCCTTCTTTCTCTCTCTCTCTCTTTCTCAACTTGCCATAAAAAGAAATATTCAAGGATTACTCATTGTATTACTTACAATTAATTATTCAATTGAGTTTTATAATTTTTCTTACAGTAAAATATTAGGTGGAAATTTTAACAGTAAAATATTAGGTGGAAATTTTATATTATTTTATTGAAATTTTGTTTTTCTGTACAGCCCTATAACAAACTTTGTGCAACTATTTTAAAATGTAAACATTTATCTTTATTTTATTCCAAGTATTTATGTTTACAACATATTATGAACAACAACAACAAAAACCACAGGTTAGAGCTATGTAATAAAAATATATATAAGTTGGTTTTATTTAAATGTAGATATTTATGTAAAAGTCTAAAAGATTAACTATAAGTACTGTTTGTTTGGGGGTAGTTAGGATTCCAGATGATTTTTATTTTCTTTGCTTTTTTTTAAAATGCTTTTTTGTGATGAACAGATCTTGATGTCACTGGAAAAAAATGTATTAAATTAAAATCAGCCTTTAGTAGATGGAATTGAGCACTGTGGAAATGATAGTGCTAAAGCGGATTGCTATGCTGCACATCTCTCATGAAATTCTCTTCTATTAAATGGTAATTCTTTAAACTCCTAAAATTTTATTGAAAAACAAAAGAAGCATCTCAGTCCTCTTGAAAGCTGGGCCGCCTCTTCCTGTAATCACTAGGCTATCTTTCACTTCCCATCTGAAGTCGGTCAGCCTTTGCCAGGCTCTTCCAGCCACAAAACAGTTCTCTTGCAGTTTTTCTTTTCTCCTCTTGCCCAGGGTCAAATCGCTAAAGATTTTGGCATCCTTTCACATCGGACACCACCTTTCACCTCTTCTTTCTGTACAATGTCCATGTCCCCAGCCCCACACTGCCATACCCACTGCCAGTCAGGAGACACTCATCCTAAAGCACCTGACAAAAATTTCCTGTGCTCCTTCTTTTATTCACTCTACACATGCCCACCTTATTTATTCTTCTAAAAGTGTACTTTAAATGCTCTGTGTTTTTCTTGAAAACCATTAAGTCTCTCTCACATGGGAGTAGAAAGTCCATGAGCTAGAATTGGAAGGATTCCATAATCTAAGCTCTCCCTTTGAACCATTTTGCTCTCAGCCCACCAATAAGGTTGCTGCTCCACACAGCAGCTGATGCACTGAATTGTTCTTGAACATTAACACCCATGTGTAACCTCACACTGTCACCTCTGTCCGAAATGACTTAGCCTGTACTTGCTAGCAGACTCCTTTGAGATGTTCCTAGAACACTGATCTCTATGGATCAGCCTTTTTATAAGCCCTTTGCAACCTATTCATTCAATTCTATTTTTTTGTTACCTGACTCTTTCAGTGCATATGGGTGTTTTCACTCAGCAAAATGCTCAGTTGCGAAGGAGCAAGGGCTGTGTTTTATCATCTGTATTTTAAAATCACCTAGCACTATGGCTCTTTATGGATTGTTTACACATTGCCTCCCAACAAATAAATATTTTTGATTGAGCATTTTGACTGAAGCAAACAAACATTATGTATTTTCCTAATCATTGTGGGTGAGAAACATGTGCAAAAATATAATAGTCCATATTTATAGTGTTTAAATAAATAAACAAGTAGCTAAAGAATAAAATCCAAGACAAATCAGTAAGAGTTGAGTTAATCTCTAGAAATACCACAAAAATAAATTACCTCTTGGTCAAGTCCTATGTCTGAAAATATCCTTTTCTCATTGAGGGTAAGGACTCAGACGGAGCATTTAAAAAGTTTGTCCAAAACACACAATTATGGTTTGCCTCTAGCAGAAATAATGTGTGACCTTGCTTCTTTTAGTAAATAATTGAATTTGCCTCTAAGGTTCAAGAAGTTCAAGATTACTTTGTGTGTGTGAAACAGACTGCTTCTGTTTTCTCTTTATATGAAGCAGAATATCATGTAAGGCAGAAGAAATGCTGTGCAGTTGGGATTTGGTGAGCAGGGAGAATAATAGCAGAGATTGACGTGATTTCCATAGCAGAGTTATTTCTAAGTAGAGAGAATGCCTGTCCCTGCGTTGAAAAGGCCTTTTTATTACCGGGGCTGAGGAGCTCTGGGGGCACTACCCACTTCCTGGTGGTCTGTGGGGCACTGCTGCCACCTGCTGCATGCAGACAGCTACGGAGAGCCTGTTGCCTGGGGCTGGCTGCTGAGAACAGGTGCGTTCAGTTGATATTCTGTGGCTGTCTGAATTTTTTCTTTTCTCAGAGCTTCAGTGGTCCCCCAAGGAAAACTAACCAAATCTGATGACTCCAGGCCCCAAAAGTTTCTAGGAATCAAGGCTCAACTAACACCCGAGGAGGGGAGATGTTGCCACCCAGACACTAAACTGGCAATAACAACAGGGAAGGATTCCATTCAAAGTGAGCCGTTAGCTCTGGAAAACACATCACAATTTTCTTTTTCTGAATCTGAGAGTTTTGGGTTTTTTTTTTAAAGTTGCTTCACTTAAAACAATAAGAGGTAGGGAACCTCTAAATACTTCAAGGTGGGGGTGGTTCTTAGAAACTTCAATTTTTAAAAAGTTATATCTATTCTACATCATTTTTCATTTTTTAAAACAATGCTTGCTTTCTTTTCTCAGGTCTACACCCCATAGAATTGCCGAGGTATAGTCCCCATAGAATTTCCAATGCCATGGTCCACTGTGCTTTCCCTTCCCTTGTTCTGATTCCTCTCCCCACCCACTTCCCTTCAGGGTTGTAGTCTATTTATTCATGTTTTTCTTGGTGCTGTTTTTCTTGTTATTACTTTTTCTCCAGTGCCTTAATTTGTTTCACCGGTATTCTTCCTACAGTGAGATCATCCAATATTTTTCTTTGTCCTTCTGACTTATTTCACTGAGCATAATTCCTTCTAGTGCCATCCATGTTGCTGTGAATGGCATTAATTTATATTTTTGATTGCTGCATAGTATTCCTTTATGTATATATACCACATTTTCATGATCTAGTTGTCTGGGCATTTGGATTGTTTCCAGATTTGACCTATTATAAATAGTGCTGCAATAAACATAAGGATACAGGTACTCTTTAGAATCAATGTTTTTGTATCCTTGGGTAGATTCCCAGGAGTGGGATTGCTGGGTCATATGGTAGCTCCAGAAAATTTGATTTTTACTGTTTCCACTGAGGTAAATTTCTCTTAATATGACAAGTGGAGCACCAACCCATTGCTCTGGATCTTGACCATCTGTCTCCTGGCCTATTTTTGTTATTATGCGCCATTAATGTGATTTACTAGAATTTCCATGGTAAAGGAAGAAGAAGCGAAGTTGTTAAGAGCAGGAATGTCTCCTCCTGCCCTTTAATCAAAGATTTGTGACTCCCCATTCCTTCCTGAAATCATCCTAGTCAGCAACATCTGACCTAACACCCTCCGTTTCTTTCCCCCCATGGGAGTGGAAATAATAGTTGGGGAGGGAGGTCTGGACTAGGAAATAATCAACTCTATCTTCTGATCTTTGCAAGAATCAGCATTAACTGAGTAGTAATAACTAAATATGACAATTGTCATGACGGTAGCAGAGAGGAAGCCTGAATAGTCTTGAAGACAGCAGATCTTGTTTTATCACATGCAAATATCTCTTTTCCCAGATAAATTCTAATCTATCTCTTGAATGGCAAGGGCAGTGCTTTGTATCTCAGCATCATCCATATTCCCTCCACGTCCTAGCATAGGACAGAGCATGATGGATGTGTGATGTCTTGATCCATTATGACAACCTGAACAGAATTATCTCCCCCCTGACCTCAATAGAGTATGCCCCAGGAACACAGTTCAGCCTGTTTGTCTTCAGGCTTGCTGTGTGATACCCTTACTACATTATAAAAAAGCATCACCAATAATTTCACATTCATTCATCTGAATGGTTTTTATTTTTACTAGTTTTTATTTTTATCAAATTTATGCTGTATTTCTCAGCTTGTTTTCTTAAGGTTGGGAGGTCTGTTTTATCCCAAGTGGGAAAACTAATGTAATTAAATCTGTCAGGGGTCATCATTCCTCCATAATTAATCAGACATTTCCCTGCAACTGATTCTGGATCCCCTATAAATGGAAGTAGCTGGGTAGGTAGCAAAGTGCTTGGAGCTGGCTGAACTGGGACATTCTGGGCCTTTTGATTCGGATGGTTTTGGCCTTACTTTAATAGGTTTGTCTAAGACATAATAAGCACTTCTTATTATGCAATAAAGATCCAACCAGCAAGAGAGACTCCCCTGCATGACCTACAGCCTACTTCAGACCAGGGTGAAAAGAGCCTTTACTTCTCTCACCCTTAGAAATGTGGGTTTGCCTTCAGGAAGAGGACAGTAAAATTCAGTTTGATAGCTGTCATCACCCTCTGTTACTTTTCAGATTTTATTAACATTAAGTGTGCTAATTTTTTGTTTACCCTAAAGCAATTCTGGAAAGAAAACTTACTTTAAAATTGAACAGAAAAACTATTATGGAAGACGCTAAGCTCACATTTGTTAAATTTGTACTCTTGAAAAGACATGTATAAAATGCAGATTATGAACTGCTCTGCATGATTTCCTTTGTTTAGATTTTGAAGCCATTTGACTGCCACAAAGATCCTACAGCCTCCAAAGATGCTGCTACATCTTCTAACATAGGTGATATGTAAGATGTAGAGAAGAATTTCAACACTTCCGTTAAAGATTATACATAGCACTGAACCACATATCCTGTCGACACTGCACTTGCCGCGTCTAGCAAAAAAGCTAAACAGACATAGGCCGCGGTAGACTTGGGGTTTCTTAGCACAAACAAGGTGGCTAATCGTGGCTTAATTAGAGGCATCAGTTAACTTCTGTGATCGCTATGAAAATGCTGGTGTAAGGCCTTCGGGAGACGATGGAGAAGAAATGGATGTACTGTGCTGTCTACTCCATCATCCAGATACATTTTGTCAGGGGTAAGCCTTCCAGTTGTTCTTTCTTGTCAAGTTGGCCATTTTAAGAGTGAAGGGTGCCTCTGTTTATTTAAAATGCCTATGACTGCTGCTGAAATTAATCACCAAAAAACCCCAGATCTTCACTAAGATTTTTAGTTATGTATTTAAGTGACAGCTATTGAAGAGATGTTAGACTCTAGCAATGATTACTAATGAATACTGAAAACAAAAATGAAATAGGTGCTTTGTGCCCCTGCTCGGAGACATTTTCACCCATTTCCTTCCTGAACAGATCTCTGGAGTAATTGCACAAGTGTGCTTCTTGGAAATGAAATGCTCTCCAAATGGTAGTCAGAACAACTTCAGAATACTAAAAACTTCTCAAAGCCCTCCATGCTCAGAGCTCCTTGCTCAACTTTTTCTTTCTCTCAAGTATCTTTTTTCCTGTTAGATAAAATAAGCATTTCCCCTAAATACTAATGACTTTGGGTGTTGAACATATGCTGAATTTTAATGAAGCATGTTAGTGGGTGGACCTGGGAGACTGAGCGGAGTCCTTAAGATCTGGGGAACCAATACCTATAGGGCTTACTTTAAAATAGCAGAAGGAAAGATCAGTTTTGCATACCATCGTGTGAGCATATTACAGCGAGCCAGAGTGCCATAAGAATTAACTGCCTTACAGATAAAGTTACCAAGATTTTAAGAATTTCTAAATCAGAGGGGACTGGGGAATATAGAGCTGTCCATAGGATCAGAGGCATTTTGTCAGAGCAAGGAGAGCTCACAGGGAGTTACACTAACTAGACTAACCTCTGCCTCCCCAAGCTTTTGCATCCATAAAAGTATAATAATTCCCATTTGTCAAGTACCTGTGAGAGGCTCCTATCTTCTCAGATGCCTGTCATCTTTTTATCATTTCCCTTTGTGAGCTTCAGTGGTACTTGTCACAATAATATATCATTCCTGTAACAGAATTCCATGTTAATTCTAAAACTGAGGCCTATACTATTGAAGGCATGTCAGAGACTCAGTGCTTAACATAGTTCAAGTACACTATACTATTTGATCAGAGAGCTGATGAGAGGAACTCTTCTTTTTTTTATTTCTATTATTTCAAAGCACTGATTATAGATAGAACTAACAAATGTATTTTTTTTTTTGTCCTTAGTGGAAGCTCTACTTTCCACAGAAATATTTCTTCCTTTCTTCCCCCTTAGGGCCCCTAATTACAAAGAAATGGAGGCCCTTTCCTTCCTCATATTTCAAAAGTCAAATTTCCTGCCCTTCTCAACTAATTTGGGGGTAGAGTTGGAAGGTATAGGTTTATAGAAAGAGCACAAATTCTAAGCAGCCAAATTCATGATCTTTACTGGACATATGTCTGTGACTTGGAGCAAATCATTTAATCTCTTTCCTCTTTGACAACAAGTGTTAACAGCATCACTCTTCGGTATGTGAGGAGAATTAAACAAGCTAGCATGTGTAAAAGTCTTTTGGACACATGCATTAGTAAAAGTTGCTGTATACATATTATTATGTTTGCAATTTCAGAAAATACCACCAGTGTTATAGGCAGCTGTTGATTTATAATTTTACCCCACCCCCCAAAAAGCCAATTACATAAATGCAAGAATTATTGTCATAATAAGTTTGCTAGGGGACTTTAATTTTTAAGTCCCCTAATTTTATTCATAGGTAGTCAGAGAAAACCAGATAAAGGGATAGTCAGAACTCAGTCTGTTCATCTAGTGCCCTTAAGGAAAGGCCTCTTTATTGTTATCAAGTTTCATGCTTGTGCATTTGGATCAGGCACAAACTCTCTTCTGCTCCTACTGCAGCCAGCGAGAAGCTTCCTCACCTCACCAATGTGGTCAAGGATTTAAATTAAGAATCATTCCATTTGAATTATACAAACTGATGCTCCTGCCTTTCTTATCAGGGATATGGAAAGAAGCACCCAATGCAGAAGATGTTTATGTATCACCTGGCTCTAATGTCAGCCTGATCTGCCAAGCCCAGAAGGAAGGCTTAGTGCAGGTGCAATGGAGCAAGATCACCAATAAAGAAGACATGATTGCCGTTTATCATCCCACTTATGGCTACTACTGTGCCAACCAGAGTGCCAACCAGGGTTCCTGTAAGTCACTGGTGGCTTTGAAAGTAATGCCCGAAGTGTCAGAATGGACTCTGCACTTAAGGAACATGTCCTCCTCACTCAGTGGGAAGTATGAGTGCAGCATTACTCTGTATCCGGTGGGCATTCAAAAGAAAATCTTCAACGTGCACATTCAGAAAACTGGTAAGTCTGATACATGGAGGGCAGGTGGTTCTTGTTTCATGAGCTCACATTCCTTCAACAGATACTCCTCGTGCATCAACCCTGTGGCCGGCAAGGAGCTAAGTACACAGATGGAGCAGAGACAGGAATCCATCACACATACTGCATAACAGGCATAAGTGAGAAGAACTGCAGCCATCTTGTGGCTGCCTCTGCAGCATGGCAGAGGCCAGGGAAATTGAGCCTGAGAAAGCAATACCTCCACTGTAGTCTGAAGAATGAGTACATCTGAGGAAGCAGGTACATGATGGGCACATGCTGGTGGGCCTGCTGTGCAGAGACTCAAGGCCAGGGGGTAGATAACGATGATAATGGACCATAACTCTACCTGCTCCCATGTATCCAAGGTGTAAATTTTCATCAAAGAGCCATGGGAAGATATTGAAATAAATCTTTTTAAAAAAAGATTTATTTATTTATGCATACAGAACTGGGGTACAGTACAGTGTGTGAGAGGCCAGAGGTGCAGTGGTGCAGAGTGGCGAGAGGCTTCACCAGAGACAGAGTGAGGAGCAGAACAGGCCGACTGGCGAAGTACACTGCTGAGGGGAGCAGTGGGCAGGTCAGGAGAGGTCTGCTGCGCCTTGTGGGTCACCTCCAGGGCAGGGATCGAACTCATGCTGAAGTGGCTGTAGCTTCTTAGTGCTGTGCTTTAACCTGCCGCGCCACTAGGGAGGGCCCCATATTGAAGTGTTTTAAACAAACAAACAAAAATGGCATAGTATTTGGAGCTTGATTGTATTTGTTTTATAAAATGATTGTGTGGGTTTCAATATGAGAATAGAGTGAAGATGGACAAGAAGAAGGTGGACATTAAATAGGAGATGAGCCCAAGAAAGACAGAATGATAAAAATAGGTTAAATTCTATGTATTGAGCATAAGACAGATAGTAATAGAGTGGGTGTGGCAGTAAGAATGAAGGGGGGAGAAAAATTGAAGGTGTTGTTCAGATACCTGGCATGCACATCAATTGGTAGAACCAGTCATTGAAAGGGGAGCACGGAAGGAGAGCAGGGCTGTGGGGAGAATTTATAAAAGTGGCTTAGGGTAGATTCCGTATAGGGCAGGTGAAGAAGCGTGGAGGCTGTCAGACATGCAGCATTCATAAAAACTTGCTTTAGAGGTCCACATTTGGAGGCAAGAACCTTAGGCTTAAGTACAAGCTTTCTCTGAATAGAAGTGAACTTTGTCTGGTCATGTAAATTCTCTGTGCCCATCTGGAAAAATGTTGATAATGACACCAACCTTAAGTTATTTGACCCTAACATAAATGATTTCTACTTCTTCTAATGGAAAAGAATTAAAATGAAAGCCAACAAATGGAAAATGTACTAGAAGTGAATTTTTTTTAATTATTCATTTGTTTTATTATTATTATTTTTAAAGATTTATTTATTTGTGCGTACAGAACTGGAGTACAGGCCAGAGACTCAGGGGTGGCAAAAGACTTCACCAGAGACAGAGTGGGGAGCAAAACAGGCAGATCGACAAAGTACACTGCTGAGGGGAGCAGCGGGCGGGTCAGGAGAGGTCTGCCACGCCATGTGGTCACTTCTTGGGCAGGCGGGAATTGAACTCATGCGGAAGTGGTTTCAGCTTCTTAGTGCAGTGCTTTAACCCGCTGCGCCACCAGGGAGGGCCCATGAATTTTTTTTTTTTTAACTCAGAGGCAAAGTGGCCTGTTAATATAAGACAAAATAATGACTCGTGGAAACTATGCTAACTGAGTCATGGAAAGGTCCAGGACAAGAAACCTATGTGGATTTGTTATCTTTACTTTTTATCAAGAGATAAGACCAGGGTATTAAAACAACCTACCTTCCTCTAGGAATTCCTCCACTATTATCTTAAAATGCCCTGCTCTACTGCTATTTTCTAGAGGAAAACAAAAACTATTCAATTGGGGATGCAGTGGGGTTGAATGAAGAGAAATACAGAAAATCTGTATAGACATGTTCAGCTATACACTCTGTAGAGTCAGGAAGCTGCGATTTGAATGTTGGCTCTGGCACTTAGAATGTGTTTCCTCTATGCCAGGTTATTTCAAGTCACTAATTTTTTTTTTCCTTACATAATAGATATGGATAATTATAGTACCTTCTTCATATTTTGATGGTTAAATGAGATAATTTGTATAAGGCACTTGGTATAATTCCTGCCAAAGGGTACTAAGAGTTAGGTAAGTGATAGTTTTCATTAAGAATAGTAATAAGAATAATGAATAAACGCTGTTTATCCTTTCTTATCAAAAGTGAATGCTCTTCCCTTTCTTTTTATTTGCCTCACTCGGAACCCAAGAGGACATTTGTCAGTCATTAGCACAGAAACACATTGACCTTGGCTTTAGATATCGGTTTTGTACCTCTCAACCTAAATCTGCACATTCTGTTACATATCTGAGGAGCTAATAGTTTGAGAATCAGTAACATGAATTGAAATACCCTATTGGAAATAGGATACGGGGTGGCTCAAGACATGAAGGCAACAGTGAAAAACTCACATGTGACCCAGGAAGGAGAGCAGTGTTGCCATTCAGGTAGACACTTTTCTTAAAGGACAAAAGCAGAGGCAGCTAAATTGGAGCTACTAAGCGCTGCCAGTCACTGGGAAGGTAGAAGCCACAGCTACATGCTTTGTGTCATCTGGGACTTCCCCAGACTTCTGATTACCATCTTGCTGTTTTTAAAACAGAAGGGGAAAAAAAATGGACCGTAAGTGAATGCCTGGTATATTAAGGGGTAGTCGCCGAACACACAACAGGCAGTTGCCATCCGAAAGCCGGTGACTCAGGCTCCCCCTTCTGCTTTTGCTTTTCGCTCGCTTCTCCCACTTGTACTATTGCCCTCTTACATCCTGGTGAGATCCCCAGACTTGCTAGCTAGTTGGGTAAGCAAAGCATACATGAAACAAAAATTTATGAAGTGCAAAGAGAAATGAAAAGAGAGCTCCTTTGTAAACACTGAAATATTAAACTGCTAAAAAAAAAAAAGAAAAAGAAAGAAATATTAAACTGCTAAAAAAAAAAGAACAAGAAAAAGAAAGAAAGAAATATTAAACTGCTAAAAAAAAAAAAAGAAAGAAAGAAAGAAATATTAAACTGCTGAGGGGCCACAGTGGTTGGAACCACTTCCTGTTTCTGTTCTATTGTTATCTGAGTCACTTTTCTCTTTCTCTGCTCACTAATGAGTGTGGCTGCATCCCATGTTCCAGAAGATGCCACAGAGGGAAGTTGTAGTCTTTTTACTATATTTTGCTCCTGCCTGTATTCCTGTGCTCTAAGGCCGTAGATGAGAAATATAGTAAGCGGTTTAGCATTTCTTCTTTTTCATTTTGGGTTGATAGGGTTTTTTTGGTTATTGCAAGAAATACAGTTCTCTAAATCTTGGGTTATTTTTATAGTCTATCATTTGTAGCAGAATATAATCTTGATAATCTGATAATCTTAGTCTAACTACATGCTATTATCCTAGTGTGGCGGTAGGTGTTAACCAAACTTACTATGGTAATCACTTTGCAATATAGACACATATAAAATCATGTTTTACACCTAAAACTAATACAATGTCAACTATATCTTAATAGAACTGGGGGAAAAAATCAAAGACTGTTTCTAGCAGGGTATTAGTATCTCACTAATATCAATCAACTTTTCATGTTGGTCATTGATGGTCTTGGGGAAAATATCTATTCATTTATTCTGACCACATTTAAAGGTTGCATTGTTTTTTGTTTGCTTGTTTGTTTTTCCGGAATTGCGTGCGTGCGTTCCTTAGCCATATTTAACCCCTTATCAGATATGTGATTTGATAATATTTTCTCCCATCCTGTTGCCTTTTCACTTTGCTGATATTTGTAGTTTGATGTAGTCCCACCTGCTTACTTTTGCTTTTGGTGTCAACTACAAAAATAATCATTGCCAGGGCTGATGTCCAAGAACAAACTTACTGAGTTTGACATGTATGGAATTTCTATTTTTAATTTTCTGAAGAATATCCCTGCTGCTTTTCCTTTACTGTGTATCAAGCTTCCTTTGTCTACACATCTTCTCCAATGCATCATTTCTTATCTTTTGGATAATAGTCATTTCACAAGTGAGAGGTGATATCTCATTGTTTTAATTGTATTTCTCTAATAATACATTTGATGAGCAGCTTCTCATGTGCTGCTGGCTATCTGTATGTCTTCTTTGGAGAAGTGACTCATCAGATATCCTCTGCCCGTTTTTTTATCCAATTGTTTGTTTTTATTTTTCTGATTTGTGAGTTAATTACATATTTTGGGTGTTACCCCTTGTTCCACTGGATTTTCAAAGATTTTCTCCTATGCAGTAGGGTATCTTTTTATTGTGCTAATAGTTTCTTTTGTTGTGCTGAAGCCTTTTAGTTTGAGGTAGCCTATTTGTTTATTTTTGCTTTTGTTTACAAAATTTAAAGTGGATTAAAGATTTGAATATAAGACCTAAAACCATTAAACACATAGAAGAAAACAGGTGATAGGCTCCTTCACATTGGCCTTAGAGAGCTTCTTGGGAATTTTATTCCAACACTAAAGGAAACAAAATGTTTGAAAATAAGCGACAGAAATCGGCTGAATGGAAAGGGCAAGTTTCATCAGATGATCCATGTACATTCAATCCCTGAAATCAAAAGTCTAATCCTACCACCCCACTTCAATAGCTTCTTGAAGACCTTCTTCCTTCCACCGTGCAGCAGTGATACCAATTCCAGCAGAGGTAAGGCTTGTTGGGACTGGTTGGTTGCTAATCTGTCTCTAGCTTCATCACCTTAATGAGTCTAGGAAAAGACACTTTGGTTTTCCCTGACCCACCCATTTCCCCCTGTGCTGATCCAAAGTAGCTTAAATAAAGAACCCAAACTGAACAAGCATTATGATTCAATAATTATAAAAATTTAAATGGATGATGGTGAGTATATATAAGTGAATGACTTAGGCCTCTCAATATTTTAGCCACAAGTATTTTACCAAATATACAGAACTGCTGAAAAAGCATGGACAGTATCTGCAGGTAAATGGGATTACAAAAAAAAACGAGGAATCATATGTATGCAAACAAGATCTGCATGGCTATAAAAAAGAAAATTTTCAGGCTACTGGGATGGTAGAGCTATTTTCATTTATGAATTATTCTTTGCTATCTTTAGGGTAGTTGCAAGTATGTATGTATATGTACATAACTTTCCCTAAAAAAAAGACACTTTAAACATATTTTCACGTGTGCTTCCAAAGAGTTTCCTTATATATTTTTTGGCATCTTTCCTTTTTTGAATAAAGGTTTATAAGCTCAAAAAAGATAATTTGATATGATGACAATAAGCAGACAAATTCCTGGCTATCAGGAATTTGGCAAGAGAGAGGCCCAGAGGACTTTTAGGGCAGTGAAGCTAGTCTGTGTGATACTGCCGCCGTCAAAACCCATAGAACAGAGTAAACCCAAGTAAATATGTCATGGGCGTTGGTGATAATGATGCGTCAGTGTAGGCTCCTCAGTTGTGACACAATGTCCCACCGTGATTGGCCATGTTGACAGCGGGGAAGCTGCGTGCTTGGGCTAGGGAGAAAATAGGAGCGCTTTCCGCTCAATTTGCTACGAACTTAAACTTGTCTGGAAATGGTTACTTACTAAAATGTTTTAAATTGTAATTAGAGGTTAGATTATAAAGTTTTATAATCTCTCTGATCAAGAAAGCACCAATTTTGGTTAAAACACAGGAACATAGCCAGTTGGAATTCGCTTTTGCTCAGACTGTGTCCTTGTAATTTTCCCGTGAGGCATCTCCCTGTGCGTCTCAGTCTCCATTTTGTCGTTTTATGCAACAGGGATGACAGTGTGATTTTTTGCCTCTTGACTTCACAGAGGCAAACGCTGTGAGAATGGATGGACCTGAATATTAAAACTTTTCTCACTTCTACAGTAAAAAACACTTTAAAAGCTCATCACAGATCCATGTCTTTTTCACCTTATGTTTTGTTACAGTTATAGAGGACAAACAAAGTAACCATACAATAGAAATAGAGGTAAATCGGACTCTGGAAATACCATGCTTTCAAAATATCACCTCAGAAATTCCATCTGCGTTCACCTTTACATGGTCGGTGGTAAGTGTTGCCCTTTTCAGTGAATAACTGCAGTAATCTTTAAATATTAATGAAGTAAAAATAAATAATAAGCAATATAGGGTCTGTAACATACTGGATTAGCGACAGGCTTTATGTGGAAGGTTGGAGAGTAGGCTAGGTTTGGGGAGGGGGTTTGGGCAGAGCATGAGGACTCCTAACTCAGCAAGCATCCAAGTCTTTGAATGCAATAATTTAGAATGTCATTTCTAAAGGTTAATTCCCATGTCCAACTATATGCGAATCCATGATTACAGAGAGAAAAAGAGAGTGATGATCCCTGGGTAGGATTCATGTCCAGTAGAAGCCCCTACTCATAGATATGTTTTTTCAGCAACATATGCAGAGTTAGGATAAAACCTCATTTCCCAGAACCCTTTCTTTTGTGCCCTGGGAAATACTGTTTTACACCAGGAAAAGCAAATCCCGATGCTTGTAAAATATAAGGAGAAAATGTACATAAGAGATGCAGTACTTGTTTAAGAAATATTTCCTGCTCAACTCTATTATTGTTACAGGGATAATTGCATGACCCACAGTTACCATGTTTTCTGATCTAAAAATTTATGAAATTGAAAGATCTGAGTTTTTATGCAAACTTTTCTAATATTTTCAACCAATAGCAGTTAGATATTAGTATATTGTATTATATGTAACACTGTCAAATCAGATATTAACATATTATATATATATGTATAATACTGTCAAATCAGGTGATAACACAAAACTAACATAATGATAATGTAAACATAATTTCAAGAATCACATGATAAGGTACTCATTCAGATGGTCAAGAATAAAACTATAGTATTTTAGATTGTTTTCAAAATGAAAATACAAGATTTAAAAATTCTTACAGCACTCATAAGTCTTCATGAATGTAATAACATAGTTTGCAAAATAGCATATTCACATGATTGATTATTTATATTGCAAGTTACCTAGATTTTCTGTGGGCTGTCATGGAAACTAGGCACAACATAAAAAGATTTCTCTAGAGTTGTGACAAATACAAAATAACTGACTTGTAATTAAGTCTTAAAATACTCTGTTTAAATATTTTTTGGATAGACAGTAATATGAAAAAAAAAATTTAAATCACTTTCTCCAGCAGTTCTAAAGTCTACAGTGTCTTTCTGTCTTCTATCAGAAAACAATTTTTCTCCCATTCTAGGGCTTGATTTCCAAAATAGAAGGACTCCTTGGCATTATGCCTACTCTTAGGATAAGATATTTGTTCTTGACTTGATATACTATGGTTCTTACAGAAAGATTAAAGCATAGAGGTGATTTCAGGAAGACAGAAACCTGCTATACCAAACATAACCACAGCCACAGAAATGTACTTTCTATACCTTGCTCATCTTATTAGTTTTCACTAATAAGCAAAATGTTTCCATCCTAATTATCACAAGTTCATTATTAATTGGAATAACAAAGTTCAATAATAATAAGACAATAACCAAATTTAATAAAACTTCATTGTACATATTTTTGCTGGCAAATATGCTCTTAATCTTATCTCAAGGATATATAATGTGGTTTTGGCAAACAAATGAAAAACCTTCAGTTAGCCTATGTTTTTGTGACAACCTTTCCACGGCAAAAAGAAGTGTCACTTCCTTCCAAACTCACCCAGCAACTGCTCCAGTGCAGAGAATATAGACACTCAGTAAATTCCTAAAATAATTAGGATCTGGTTTCTTGTGTTTCCTCCCCTATAGTCCTGTTCATTGCCCTCATATTAAATAAATGGTCACTATATTCATGCTGGCTGTTCTGTTGGCTAGTGAAGAACGATTCATTAACTATCAATGACTAGGTAACTGATAAAACATTCTTAATAATGGGTTTTCTTCAAAGAAACTTGGAAGGCTCTATAGGTATTCTCTTTGGATCCTGCCATGACATTTAGGGTAAATGAAGGACAGAGAGAGTAAACTGAAGGTCACACAGTGAGAGCGTAAGTCCTACACTTAGACCAGACCCTCAAGCTATGCTGTCACTTTGAAGAAAGCATCATGAAACAGACAACTTGAAGAATCTTTCTGAAAGAAACCTCTCTTCAAAGGGAACATTGTATTGGCAAATGTGCTGATTAAATTCCTACTGTGCGTGTCCCTTTTAAATGTCACCATCTATTTGTTCAACTGATTTAAATCTGTGCTCCACACTGTTGGTGGCTGTGGGATTTAACGAATCTGATGAAATCATCCAATGTTTTTGTGCTAGGGAATAAACTGTCCCTCTTCATCTCAGAGCTGGACGGTGTCTGCAGAGCACATAAATATTCCCTCCAGTCCATTGTTTCTTTGATCTCTTATTAAAGTAAGGAGAATAATCACAGTGACAAGCCAGTTGTTCTCACAAGTATGATATAGTTGACTTTTAGAAAAAGGTTAAAAAGTGAAGATGATGAAGATGAGGTCAGGACAGCAGAAACCTGGAATACTGAAGTCAGTTCCCATTCCGGAACTGCCTTATGTCTTATAAACTATTTTACATATTAAAATTATTTGAATCTAGGTCACCAGAAAGCAAAAGTCATGTCTTCTTCTATATGGAATTTTATAAAGTCTCATTAATTCCTTTATGATCCTTATGGGAAAGGTTTTTGGAAGGGTTCCCAGTTATCATTTTAAAAATTGTTTGAATCAGATCCTCTGCTAAAGCTGTGTTGAATAGGTTTCTGGAGCAGAGGCCTTCCCTGAGGAAGGTCACACTACAGAGTTGTGAGTACACAGGAGCAGACAGCCATCAAGTGCAAACAGTATCTTGTTGGTCTAGCGTGAGAGACCACAAGGTCAACACAAGGGGTGGACACTGATGGTCTTTGTGTGTGGTGGGGTGACATAGAGGAGGACATTGAATGTGTATGAAGTACAGGTAGTAAAAAAGGAACAAATGAAAGTGTTCTAATTTATGTCCTGGGAGACAAGCTTACAGCCATCAGGGAAGTGTAGGCTTATTCTGGGAAATTCTGAATCTGATATTCTGTGTTCAGTCCAAACTCTAGTCATGATTTCCCACAGTGTAAATTCTAATTCAACCTAATAAATACATATGAATCTCTTTCCACAGTCAGGTCCTGCAGGAAACCAAAACTATATTTCCTACTTCTCAATACAACTTTAATAAAAATATTTTAAAATGGGATCATAAAGGGGAAATAGTGTGACTAAGACTTTATGGATATGGAAAGTTTCTTTGGGTCTGTTTGAGCTGGATAATTAGAAATGACAGATCTACATGTACATGTTGGCAATGGGGGCTGGATACAGGTTTTGAGGGATGGGACTATTTGTTCCCAAAGTCTGGGTGCAAAGAAAAAAACTATGATTTTTATCCTTAAAATAATGAAAAGGAGAAGGATTACCAGTCCAGTGTAAGTGATCAAGGCACATAACTAAAGCCTAGTGCTATTGATTCTTATCTCTTCACCTATAAGCAATGTGGATTTTCCACGCCTTTATGGGAAAACAAAACTATCACCTTCTACCTGACAACAGTTGACTCTCATTGTCTTCACTGAAATAAAAAAGTGCTATCCAGCCTACAAAGTGTTGAGAGCCCTTTGCGACAATGGAGAGAATACTGATCTGGTGCTCTGCAAAATGAACACGGAGTTTGGCAAGCAGTCTGCTTTGGCCTCACTGAGCGGATGTAGATAAATGGGGGTAACGTGAAGATAGAAAGCAATTTGGAGATAAAGAAGGAGAAATCAATGCAGTTGACAGAGTTTTCTGAATGATGTGTATACACTTGACACCTGTCTTGTGCTGTGGTCAATATGGCCACTCTGACTCAGTCCTCTCAGAGATGAGCAGTATCACTAGTCAAATAGTGCTGATGTCCTTTTGGGGTTGAAAAATTCTAATTCTAGTATAAAATTCAGAAAGCTTCCATGAGTTATTTTAGATTTTCAGTTCTTTAGAGCCATAAGGAACCAGCTCTTCATGATTCAATATGATCCCATCTAGTCCTCATTGTGCTAATTATTTTATACCACTCCCATATGTAATTTAATTATTCATTTATTTTTCTTCTGTATCTGTCTTTCCTGTGAATTTGTTCTTCTCAAATAGATTCTAAACAGAAAAGGCAAGGGCTGTTTGTTCTACTTTTATGAGGTTGTATACAGCAAAGTCATTAACAGTATGACTTGCAGGGACATTTTTGTTTTCAAGCCTTGTCTCTACCATTTGCTAGCTGTATAACCTAAGATCTAGAATTAGAGAGAGCACATACTCACCTCAGGTGAGGTCTGTCTTCCCTGGACCTGGGCATCTCTGTTCTTTAATGCAGAGACTTAACTATCTTCTTACTTTCTGTGTCTTTGAGCAAGTTAGTTAACTTAAGATTATTTCAGACTATTGTAGAGTATACAAGATGTAAAGGACTTTAGACAGAGCCTAACTTGCTACATAAATGTCAGAACATAATTAGCACTATTTTCCTCCTAGCACTAGACATTTCATTGTTTGCCTGTGTTAGTTTTCTCTACCTCTCCCATTCGCTACATGCAGGCAGCCACCCCTTTTATAATGGGGCACACTTGGCTACTGAACCCATTATTCCCAAAAGTGGAACAAACCCTTCTCTCTGTACCAGCCAACTTCCCAGAAGGGGAAAAAAAATAAAACAAAACTTTTGCACAATGTGGACTTTTCTGTATATCTTTCCTTAATCAATGAAATCATCCTGGTCAGTCCCACATAGCCCCCGATAAAGGAAAAAGCAGTTTTTCTCATCAGCCTTGAAACTCAGCCTCAGCCTGCCTTCTTCCCCCAACAAAGTGACAGATGGAAATACCCCAAATGGCAAGTCATTTACTAAGTGATTAAGAAACATTTTGAGCTCCAAATTCTTTTCAAAACCAGTCTCTGCATGAAGCAAGAGCTGTAACACTTAGCTGTTGTTCCACAGAACCTGCAAGAGCACCTGTTTTCTTAATTATTGGTCGCCAGACCAGCAAAGGCATTTCTCTTCTGCTATCACTGGCAAACGTTTGACGCTCCTTTTAAGGCCACTGTCTCCAGAATATAAGTCCTCTCCCTTTAATTTTCTGTATGTGCCCTTTTCCATTGGGAAAATAGCAATACAGACTCTTGGGATCTTCTTTCTATAAGTATCAGGTATTTACACACACACACACACACACACATATACTGTTTCAAAAGTAAGTCTTACGCAATTATGATTCATTGTAAACAGCACTATCTGTGTATCTGTGCATTTAGCGGATCCCAGTCCTAATCCCCTAAAATCTGTCTTAGGTAGGAGTTTCTCCTAAGTCTAATCTAGGACTATCTGCTTAGTAAAGCTGCCTTCCTGCCTCTCCTGTGTCTGCTCCCAGCCCATACTTGAATTCTCTCACTCACTTACTTCCATTTCTTCTACTCCAAAGTGGTCTCCGTTTTTTTAGACTAGAGATTACAAGTCAGAAATCTTTGGTTCCATTATTTTATGACTCCTTTTCCATCCAATCATTCCTCTTCACCCTACTTCACTACTGTTCCCTCCATTCTTCAGACTCCCGAGCATAGGAGTCATCTTTGTTTAGAGATAGATCAGTTATTCTCAGGCCTGGATCGCCTGAGGACCTTAAGACAAAATGCCCCAGCCTGAACTTCATCCCAGAACCACTAAATTAGGCTCTCTGGAGAGGAAGCTTATACATCAGGATATTTCCAAGGCAACTCAGTTGACAATATTAACTTCTACCAACGAGGTAAGAACCTGCCCCTTTCTCCTTGAGTCCCTCAAGAAGCTCATGGCCCATCAACATGCTTGACACTGACGTGCTGTCACCATCCTTGCCCCCCTCTGTCCATGGAAATTTTGGGTAGGGAAACAATAATTGTGGCGTTTCCTCATAGACCCAAAAAAGGATATGAAATAGAGGACCGAAGTACTCCAAATAAACTTTGATTTCCAAAATTCAGATATTCTGACTATTTTCCACATGTCCTTTTGGAATGTAGTAGGGCCAGACCCATGACTTGCCTCATGTAAGAAGGTAACGAGTTGCCTAGGGCGCAAAGTCTAAGGAGGTGCTCATTTTCAGGTGCACAACCTTTACTTAAAAGACCCCAATAGAGGGCCCTCCCTGCTGGCGCAGCGGGTTAAAGCACAGCACTGAGAAGCTTAAGCCACTTCCGCATGAGTTCGATCCCCTCCTGCCCTGGAGGAGATCCACATGGCGTGGCAGACCTCTCCTGACCGTCCGTTGCTCCCCTCAGCAGTGTACTTCATTGATCTGCCTGTTCTGTTCCCCATTGTATCTCTGGTGAAGCCTCTCACTGCCCCTGCACCTCTGGCTTGTACCTCAGTTCTGTGTGAATAAATAAATCTTTTTTTAAAAAAATTCCAGAACTTAAAGTGAGACTTATTGTCTGGCAATAGCCCCAGCAGCTACCCTCCTCAATCCTCCTCCAGCCCCCCAAATATGCAGTTTATGGCAGGTTATGAAGAGTAGCAAGTTTCTCTGGATGTTAGCAGAGAGTGATGGTAGTTTGTAACTAAGTGTTACATGTAATGATATTTTCTGTAGTAAGGTACTAAGTACCTCTTAATTTCAACTCTTCACTAATCCTCCAGACTTTCGTGAGATACAGATGAACTCATGGGTGTGGCACGATTGTGCATTCAGTAACTGCTAACTTACTTTTCTCACCAGGAGAACAATGGAATTCAGGAAATCTTAATCAAGAAAAACTCAGGAAAAATCCGGTATCCTGCCATCAACAAGTTCACATCACTTAACGGCAGAGTCACATTGAGTACAAATTACAATCTCCAGCTCTCTCCAGTCCAAGTCCATGATGATGGCCTGACATTTTCTTGCTGCGTTAGAGACAGACCTAGAAAAATCTTGAGTTTCACTAAGGTCAAAGTTTTTGGTAAGAGTTTCATTCTCTGGCTTCCCTTCCATCCTCCTGTCAGTTTCTCCTGTCTTGGTCTCTACCACGAAAGAACCCTGTTAGCTGCAGGAAAGCCAAAGAGGGTAGCTGTTCTGCAACTCTGTTGTCTTGATGTTTGTCATTCATACTGGGTGCAGGGGGGAAATCAGGATGTTGAACAATGAAGGTTTGGTTAATAAAATAAAATCACAAGATTTTAATATAAAAATCAAAATCATAGATTGGTCAACTTTCTGGTCACTACAATCTTATTTGCAACTTTAGTGTTTCCTAAGAACACTGGCAATCTCTTTAATTATAACTGCCAAAGATCAATTACCTGCTTGTCTAATTGCCTTATTCGCTTGCTAGAAAAAGGCAAAGTGAGTCCTGTGTGAGAAAAGAAAGATGATAAACACAGCTCCAAAGAAACTGTGCACTAACCCTCAGCCCCACCAAGGCCAAGAGGGCTGAGGGATGTCCAGTTGCTTCAGCCATAGAATGCAGCCCTTTAACCCTGTATTCTTAGGAGTGTGGAGCTGAGCTGAGCCAGCCACTGTGGTCTCACTCAAATTGCAGAAATACTTCATGATTCAAGTTTGAGGGCGTAGGTAGAAAATTATATTTCTATTTTGAAGGGAAATCTTACTACTTATGCAGATACCACTGGCTTTGGATATTTTCTATCTTTATGACCAACAACTGTTTTTAAAATCATTTTTAAGTGAAGGCAAAGAGAAAACGAGTGATGTGGATGAGCAATTATTTTTAAAGTGAGGTAAACAAAGAAAAAGTAATTTGATAATACTTGAGGCCATGGCATGCTAGGTTTTTCCTCAGTTCCTTGAATGCCAGGACAAGTGGGAATAAAATCTTTTTACTCAGAATCATGTTGCATCATTATTAGAAAGTAAACATTTCAGTGTTTTGAGAGCAGCACCAAGCCTAGATATTTTCTGTCTTTATGACCAATAACTGTTTTTTAAATCAGATGTGAGAAGTGACAGCCAAGATTTATTTCATTAAGTCTTTTGCTTATAGCTTTTCCTGACCCTGGCTATCCCTCCCTTCCTCCTCCCCTCCCTCTCTCCTCAGGGTGAGCTAGGAAGTGTCAATTGCTCTGTGATTAGGTTCCTTATGGAGTCTGAACAATGTCCTGAGAATGGTTAGAAAAAACTGTTTGTCTCTCTTATTCATTCTACTATTTGCTCACTTACAAGAGTTTGATTATCTTAATGCAAACATGAAACTGACTCATTTGGTCCAACGATTGGCAAATTAACAGACAGTCACCAAGGATATAAAAAGACATGTAGAATCCAAGTTAGGAGAACAGTGTCCCATTTGATTAAGGGGCTTGCACAATACCTTGATGTAATTTTCTTGTCAACATTCATCTTAATTTTGAATGTTTTTAATTCTTTTACATCTTGCTCTTATTACCCTGTCTCCATATTTCTTTCTCTACATGTCTCTGTGTCTTTCTTTTGTAGATGTATAAAAATAAGAGATCTACCCGCTTGTTCACAGAATTATATTTCCCCTGTTTCCCAACATCTCCCCTTAGCAAATACCTAAATTGTGCTTGAGCCAGAGTGTGATCCAGACATTCATCTATTTGTGTATATCATCTGATGTCAGTTATAGTGGTTCTGGTACAGAATGTATGTTTCATTCAGAACCTGCTTGATACCTTTCCTCAGATAATACAAGTCAAAAAAAAAAAAAAACACCTTGAATTAAATACTCACATGTATCACAGACCCATTTTACATGCCCTGAATTCAGTTCATTTCTTCTTCCTGAAAAATGTCTTTTATTTGCTAATAGACTAAGGACCAAAGCATCCCCAAGTCCTCTGTGCCACCCTAACATCTCCACACTCATCTCCACTGTGTTGCTTTAGCAAGGGGGACTCCTGCATCATAAGTTTGCTCTCCCTCTGATTCTAAACCGGAGTGTCCCCAGAGCCATAAAAGTAATCTTTTCCTTTAATCCCTAAACCTTTCAGCTACCATTCTTTTTTTTTTTTTTTCAAGTGGTATTGATGTGAGAATACTGTTGCCAATACAAGGTCGGGATTATTCCTCCTATTAGTATTTTAAGGTTGCCTCTTAGTTTGTATTTTCCAAAAGAAAACATAGAGACCAGAATTTGAGTAAAATTATTTGAGCAGTAAGCCTGGAAAATGTCAGAAGAAGGGGTGGGAAACAATTCAAAGAAAAGAAGTAAGCAGATAATAAAATGTACCTGATTAAGTCCATTACTGCTGGGCAAGAACAAACCTCAGCATTACCCCCAAATGTGGCAAGGAAACAGTTCTCATTTGCCACCTCCCCAAGGCTTTCACCATTCGGTCTCTGGGACTGGTGTACTGAGGGGCTCCCATAACCCCAGTGAATCCTTAGGAGAGAGTCACACACTTACCTGCCAGAGGCCTTCACGATGTAGCTGAGCCTCATGGCAGGCACTGATGGCACACTTTACAGAGGTCCTTAGTATTTCCTCAACTGGTGTATCTGCTCTGCTCAAGAACTAACTTGAAGTTACTTCAGTTCAATATGATATTCTGACTTTGTGCTGGGCAATGTTAAGCACAGAGGTGGAAAGATGAATAAAACTGTCTGGCTTAGGGTACTGAAAGAAAGCAAAGTCTCTAATATTTTCTAGTACCAAGTAACTGAACAGTGTCAAGTGTTTTATTCCTCCCATTCAGGGGCCTTTAAGTTCTGATTTATTTCTAACCCTTTAGACACGTAGGATACTCTTTTTTTCTCTTTCCTCACTGACTGCCCCCCAACTCCACACTCCCCATTTCAATTGACTCACTGATAATCATTCATCAGTGAGATGTCTCGTCTCCCAAGAGCCTTTTTGTTCCCCAATGTAATATTGGAACTTCTCTTAAAAGCTTTCGTTTAAACTACATGGCCTCAATTATCGTAAATATACCATTTATTCTGATTTACAGTTTGTCTATCTGCATTCTCCATGAAAATGTCAATTTCTTAAGAAGAGTGAATATGTTTTGTCTACCTTTGTATCCCAGGCATCTAGCATACTGCCAGGCACATAAATAGTTGATGAATTATGAATCTTATACACACACAGATACACACACACTTGTGGCAGGCAGGATAGCACTCATTGTTACTAACTATGTTGCGCTTGCCTTTAAGCTAAGCCAGAAATGCCCATGATTGCAGAAGACAAATCCATGGATGTCTTGGGAAAGGTGAGTGACATTAAAGTCTTTGAAAATCTACAGTATAATGTGCCAAGCTGTGTTGGATTGCATTTTGTCCAGAAAATTTTCTCCAAGGACCTAGTAGTTGACTCCTGGCCCTCAACCAGTTGATTTCCAGTGTTGACAAACAAAACTGAGTTGATTCTAGAAACTCAGTGAGTTTTCTTACTTTTCAAATTAAGATTCTTAGAATATGTGATCTACAATCCTCATTCCTTACAGTTCTGGGAAAAAGAGTCTCAAAAGTTTACATTTCTTTTTAAGAAAAATTGAGCTAGATGTGAAAGGAAAGCAGAGCAAAAAGCAAAGTGAATCCTTGTGTAAGAATGAGGTTTTCACCTAGCTGACATTTAATTTGTTCTAATCCATTTCTGATACCATTTTTTCCATTATTTTTATTATGAAGTGACAAGAGGAAAATCGCCCCTTTGCACTTCTGAAGAACACGGCCTATTTCTTAGGCAGCAGAAGAAAAAAAAAATGAGAATATGGCCCTCTGATTTTAATTTCTGTGCACAGTTCCCAGCCCCTATCATTGGGAGCGGGGTTCACCTGGCAGCACTTCCTCTTGCCTGCTGTGATCTTGAAAAATATCACTCATCTTTGTAGTCAGTTTTCCCACTCTATGAAGGGGTAATAAGAATGTTTGGACATTGTCGTTGCCCTAAGAATTAAATGAAATAATGTAGGAGCACTCTTAGTGTATTTATGTACATTGTATTTTTAATGACCTATAACTCTTCAAAGTCCTTTCGTATACCACAGTGCTATTAGGTAATGCTTCTAACAAGCGTGTGAATAGAAAAAGTATCTGTCATTTTACAGAAAAACTGAGATCTGGAGCATCTAAACAGCTGACTGACATTAATAAAAGGCACCGACATGCCCATGTTGTGAGGAAGAGCATGCTTCAGGGAAGAGGACAAACTGACCACTTACTAGCTACATAGCTTCATCAAATAGTTAACCATGTTCTCAGCTAATGCATCTCTAAAGCTGGGTCATTATAAATATTTCATAGGCCTTTTAGGGTAATATTAAATATGTGCACAGTAACAGGGCACATTACAATAGTGACATCCCAGGAATATTTCTTCCTTCTCTGCTATTTATCCCCCACTTTTTTCTCTGCATGTAAAGTCATAAACCTATGAGACTGGCATGCCCTGGAAACCCAGCACAGGCTTCCTTGTTGGCGCCATAGAAGTTTTGTCTCCAGTTCTCCATCACCACAAATACGGGTCCAAAAACATCAGTCCCAGGAAATTAAAGCTCTGCTCATGCTGGGGTCTCTTAGACATTGCAGTAACTCAGCCAGGCTCAACCATTAATACCACCAAAACTCACCAGCTAGAGGAGCCTGGCCCAGCTGCCCTCAATGATCCTGGGGAGCCGAGGCACTGGGGACTATGGGGCCTGGTGCTTCACTGGATGACTGTGGCCACTCTCCTCCTGTTCCTCTCTGTGGTGCTTTTTATGTGCTTGCACAGGGCTGTGGTTCCCATATTACCCCCAGGACCATGGCTCACCTGCTTGCCACACAGGCAACAGGTGGCATACTGATTGGGGTAGTGCCCAGCAGGTGCAGGGGCCAGGTGGAAACACTCCCATTCCTCCCAGAGCCAGCTGCCCTTGTGGGGCACAGGAGTGGGCATGTCACTTCCAAAGGGTCTACCACTTCTCCCATGTCACTGCTCTCTTCTTCCTTTATCTCTAATTTTGGCCTTCATCCTATTTCCCTGTTCTTCCTCTTCCTGCCTCATTCTGTTTCCTCTTCTAGAACTTTTCTTGAGCCAAAAGCCTCAGCTGAACAACAACTAAAAGGCTCACTCAGCTTCTGCGGAACTGTGGTTTCTGGGGATTTGGACTAATAGTCAAAGGCTGGCCACACCTGGGCTTGTGATGTTTCCTTCTCTCTGCTTTAGGGGAGAGTCAGAGTAAGTCAGAGCCAAGCAAAATGTCCTCTGAGACTCTCGGGTACATTCCCTCCATGCCCCAGATACATGCTGATCCCTCCTTGGCTCAGTTACAAAAACAAACCAAATTAGTCCAGCAATTACAAAACTTGCTGTTTTCTGCATCAGCCAAGACTGTGGGTGTTTTGAATATTCAAAATTTCAGGCTTCTTCTTTCTTCTTGATCCTTTTCCTGGCTGCCTCTACTAAAACAGCCTCAGGGTTCAGGTTGTCAGGACCCCCTGGGCCAGCCCTCACCAGATTGTCAGTGTATGTAGGAGCAAACCAGGACAAATACTCTTGTGAGAGAGACTCGTGCTTCTAAGAGTTGTTGGCAACAAATAGTCTAGAAGCTATAAAGCATGTCAGGGTCTGGGAGATAAAGTTGCTAAAGTATAATAGGTGAGTTTATTCCTGAGAGGTTCCTCTGGGGCCAGGATTCTAAGAAATCTGAGCAGTAGACTTGATTGTTTTTAACTGAGGCACCAGCTTATACAGAGGAGAATTGGTGTTGCCTGGTCTTCCTCAGCAAGCAGCTCACCACACCACCCTTTCCCTGGCATCATCACCTGCAAAGCCAACAGCTCATCAGCCCTTCCTCACAGCAGCTTATTCCAGATGTTAGCTCATTTACCCCATTTTAAGAATAAATAGATACATGAGAAATACTATAGTTTTTAAATATCTGACTCTCTCTCCTCTCTTGGATCATTTCTTTAGTAAATGAAAGACTTGCTCCTCAAGCTTTGCAACCCTGGATAGTTAGGATACACCCCAGCTACAAGTGGGTACTTACAAGCAAGCAGGCTAAGGACCTGTCTCTGCTGGTCCAGTGCAGGCTGTGTCCCCTGCAAGCCTCGGATGCTAGAAACTGGCTCCAGCCCAAAGGAGAAGGACACCTCCCACTCTTGTTCCATCCCACTTTTAGGGGAACCTTGTTTGCAAGTGGGTATGCCCCTGCTGCTCCGGTTTTGTTTGTTTGTTTATTCTGTTTGTATTTTGTTTTGCAACACTTAGTCACACATGCAAAGCTTTTCTCCTCCGAGAGCAGATGTTCCTGGCAAGTGTCATGAAGTAAACCCACAATTGTTAGTTGCTTCCCAATGACTAGATTATTAGAGCATTCAAGCCAAGAAAAATATTTGCAGGGGAAAGGAGGAACTATGGGTGAAGAAACTACACTCTTCAGGACATCTTTGCTTTCAAATACTTTGTCAAATTGTTAGGTGAAGGGTTTCACTTTTTAGTTTGGAAACTATAGATATTGTCAATAAAGTCACTAGAAATGCCAAAGAGTGTACAGAAGAGTGAAAGGAAATCTTCCAAATTAAAAAAATATATATATTACAAACTGAGAAAAGATTTGGCATTTTTTTTAAATGTATTAAATAACCAGCACTGGGAAGCTGAGACATTTTAGGCTTCTACTCTCAGTTGAAGTGAAATAAAGATATGATAACAGCTATCAATAGATGTTACATGTAATACTATCAGATACATACTTAGGAAGAAAAATCTACTGGAGAGAGGAACATTTTAGAGATGATGTCCATCCAAGAAAAAACTCTGAGTACTTTTAAAGAAAAAAACTAGGAGAAACCATAAAAATGACACAATAGCAAATATATAAAGACTAAGATTCAAAAACAGATGTGGGGTGGGGGAGGTGCTGTTTGTTAAGAAAAACTCCAAATAGGAATGAAGAGTTGGTAAACAAAGAAACTCTTTTTTTTTTTTTTTAATGATTTCTCTTTCTAGAATAAAAGGGTACATTTTTAAAAATGATTCTAAGAAAAGTCCTTTGGGAATGGTTTTGTCCAAAGTTGTTGTTACACTTCAGTATTACATCTATGAGGATAAATCTCATAGATCAGCTCTACAGCCAGATTTGAGTTCATTTTCCCTGACTCCTTAATTTCATTTTGCTCAACCATTTGCTGTCTTCCTCCCGTTTTCCACACCAATAGCCCCTGCTCCCTTCTGGGCAGTGAGGTGCTCCTCTAAAGGCCCTTCCCAGCTGCCCGTCTCTGTGATTCCCCCTACTTCCCACCCCATAGAACCCAAGCCCATCTCTTCCCCATCTACAAAACAGATCTGCTTTCTAAGTTATTCCCATATTTTATCCTTCTTTGTACCCCTTCAGAACTGCTCATAAACATTTTGGCATTCATTAAATAATCCCTTGTGCTTCTCTTGGCATATTCAATATGTATTTAGAACATCATGTTGGAGAAACAAGTTATTTGGCATGTCTCATGGATGCGACGAGCACGCAATAAATGAATTACTGATTTTGATTTTTCAACAGAGGAGTATGTGAGTGCACTTATAAGTTTGTACCCTTATATTGTGGTACATATTTTCATCTAATTTAACATGTGTTTCTTCTTACCCCAAGTGGAAGTTCCCAAGTAAAGAAAACTCTGCTTCCTCAGCAAAACTATATGTGTTGACATGTCATAAGATGAGTGACTTAAATTTGAACTAGTGAAGTCTTCATTATTTCTATTATAGAAAGATTGAGAGAAGTTTCAGGACAAGAACCGTAGTCTGAAAAAAAACTTGGAACACAAATCTGGAAATACTACAGAATATTTGAGATCAGAGTTATCACAGAAAATTGAACTCAGAATCCATGAGTTAAATCTTTTAAACATTTTTATAACTTGACAAGATATTTGTTCCAATGAGCCAATTGCTTTTGTAAAATAATAGTAGCCCCATGTGTTCCTGATATTACCATTTCATCATATTTTGGCAGGTACTAAACATGGGCGAAATGAATCATGAATTTTTAAAGGTATTAGCATGACTGCAAACTTTTGCAAATTTGTGTCAACATTTCGTTCCTATAACTTTTAATATATTCTTTCATGACCACTTGAAATAAACAGCAATATTTGGCATTTTATTGAATTAAAGAACTTTGAATCCAATTCTCTTATTTTGTAAAAATTTATTTGAAGGGACCTGATTTTACTTTTGATTTACTAGATCAGATAGTGACATGCTTTCATGGAGTGCTTTCTGCCACGTGCATAGATCCTCAATGAAGAGTCTTGAATGGTGAACTGGGACCGGCAGCATTTGCCACTTGCCACCTTGAATTTGATAGTCACTTCTAAAAGTCTCATGATTTCCTTGGGATTTTTTGCAGTGATGTTAAAATGCATAATGTTAAAATGCATCTTAGTTGGACTGCACCAGAAAATGTTATTTAGTATCCTCAAGTTTGGTTTTTCAGCTCTATAGACCCAAAATCTTCAGATACTAGTCTGTGGGGAAATTGGCACGTAGAACACAGTTGCTCTTTACTACATAACGAATAGATTTAGTTGTGGAGATTATTTAAGAAATAAGAACTACAGCCAGTCACATATAAAATATATTTATGGACGAGAAAACAAGTACCTTTAAATGAAATTATAATTTTAACCTGTTTAAGATTAAAAGATTACATGACAGTAATCTTAAACAGGATTAAGATCAATATGTGTTTTTAGATACTTCCACCAGATTGTTGAAGAAACTACCATCTCACAAAGAACAAACATAGTCTTGTTAATAAAGCAGAATCAAACCTACCTTTAAGCTTTCTGGATTTTTAATGTTAGTTCCCAACTCTTCCACTTATTTGTTTATTCATTCATTCACTCATTTATTATTTGCATTTCAATGCAGTGTGTTATAAAAATGTCTTCTATAGGGATTGGGTGGCAGTGTTAACCAGTGGTGTGTCCAACAACTCTCCATTCCCTGTAACCACTCTATCTTGCCTTCCGCGTCTGTCAGGAGGCTGTAAGACATGTCCTACTTACTTTACAGGAATGATAAGACATTCCTGTAAAAAAAATAATAAGGTGAAAAAATTACTGGGAAAACTCCAATTCAAAAGCTCCTGTAGTTGTTACAAGTAGCACTTTACATTATTTGGATAACGCAGTCAACCAAAATGTGGCTCTCTTTTAACCTTAAATATAACAGAAGATTTTTCTTTGACTTCTGCCTATTACAGCTTCTTCCTTCTATAATCTGGCTGCCATTTAGCACTATTTTATTCTGTCTATGCATAGCTATCATTTCTTGCTTCCAGAACCCACAATCCAGATTTGGAATATTAGTATTGTCCTAGATTCTCCTTAAATTGATGATTCTAGCCATTCATTTACAATATCTCTGTAGGAGACAGCCTATTTATAGTTCACATTTTAGCACAACCTCTTAAAGAGATGCTGCCTTGTTAAAAGTGGAAATGGAAGGGGCACAGTTTCTTTAGAATTTGCAAATAACCCTTTCTCTGTTCTGACTCTATTCCCAGAGGACATTTACCTGCTTACTGAATAATGTATTTCCCACAGCAAATCTTACATGGTTTATAAATGGACACTCTCCTCAAGGTGAAAAAGGTAAGGAAATCAATGGAAGTGGGTTCAACAAAGAAAGAAAGAAAGAAAACAAAGAACAATAGACATCGCCTCGGCCAGGTCGATGTTGGCATTTAAGAACAATTCTCGTTTCCCCAAAATGTGATCTTACCTACCAAGTGACATTTTCTGATATGTCATCTGGCTCCTGCTAGATATTGGGTGGGAGGGAAGTGGGACTGTCCCCAGAGTGTCAGAAATACAGTTGATTTTGTCAACTTATACATAAAACTCATGTTTTATTTATATATTAGTAAAAGCAGCAGTTAAAAAATTAGTTCAATTGATTTTGCTCTAATGTTTTCAGTAAATAATTTATTCTTTTTTTTATAAAGACCTGGATGGGGTGGGTGTGGGGTTCACTAGAGGAAGTGCATATAAAGGACGTGACTCTAACACAGACAACATGTTCACCAAGAGGACTAGAAGCTCCTGCAGCAGGAACACACATTGAGACATGCTCAGGAGATCCATAAACAAAGCCACATTTTTCATGGGTGGTAAACACAGCAGCCTCTGCCAGAACCACAGTCAAAATCCACCTGCCACAATGACTATGCTTCCTTCTCCTGAGTCATTTTTCCTCAAAGCTTAATATATTACCAGTAGTAACTATGTCAAATAGCTCTTGCTGGTTATTTTAAATGGATAAAGCTAAAAGCTTATAGTAATGAGTGGTTGTGTTCCTCACAAAGTATTTTGAAAATATTAATGATTTTATTATTAGCTTAATATCAGTTCACCCACATTGACAGGATGTGACCCTAAAAGTATCTGCAAAAGGTTATTGTAAATTTGTTGTCCCTGACTGTGACCATTTCCCTCCCAACCATAAGGCTAGAGAGTATGGTCAGAATTCCACAGCTCAAAATTGCATTTAGTTACTACTTGGGCAAGTAACATATTCATGACTAACATTTAGAACCTTTAATAAAAAGATACTGTGAGAGTTCAGAAAATTCTGACCTATTACGACAAGTGGTTTTACATTAATTTTCTGCTGTTATGTGTTCTATTTGGAGATTGTACTAACAGCATCAATTAAACAGTGTTCTATTTCTGAAGAAGACTCACAAGACCTACAATGACACTGGTTATAAATTTACAGCTTAGCACAGAGGAATGATGCAATGTGGCAATAAGAGCAAAGTAAGAGCAGGTATCACATGTATATAGTTATAGTCAGGGCTTCAGAGAACTCAGACCCGGGCATCTTTGTCCTGACTGTGTAAAGGGAAACAACCAATGCAGTGCAGAATACCTGCATCCCCAAATGGAATCTTAGCTAAGGTTGTGTTATGTTTCACTGGTCACAGAGGAGAGTCCTGCAAACCTGAGGACTCTCACCCTGAGCAGATGCAAATCATCAATCTCATAGTTATCAATAAACCATGCTGATAAACTAGAACAGCCTGCCCCAAACTCCTTGGACCCGTGGTCACAAACAAAACAAACTATTCATCAATAGTTTTCATACCCTGTCCTTGGATCAATGTCAGATAGAAGTTCAGCTCCATTCCCGACCCTTGACTGTAAGAATAAACTCCGACTGCTGAGAAACTGTGGTCTGACCACTTGCGACTCTGTGTTGCCATAAACCCATCAGTCTTCAGCTGTGTGAGCTCGGTATGGCTCACAGAGATTTCACTTAAGATGAATGTTGTCTTATCTGTTTTGTAGAAATAAGCATCACCAATGAAAAAAGAAAAGACATAGGTGGATTTTTGGAACTGAAGTCTGTTTTGACAAGAGTGTATGATGATCAAGCAGTCCAACCAAGCAACCTGACCATCTGGTGTATGGCTGTGGCTCCAGTCCCTGGAAATAAAGTGTCAAGTATCTCATCTGAAAAGATAATGTTTTCCTTGGGTAAGTTGTCTGTTTAGCAGGGTCAAAAAGGAATGGCCAAGAGTATTAAAAATTCAAAACATTTCAAATTGGAACAGAATACTCCTTATTCTCATCATTCAATTCCAGAAAACTTTCTGCACAACTCAAAATTATTAAATTTCAAATTAATACTTTGTTTTGACAAATGGGACTCTGCTGCAAAGAATCTTTTCAAATAAAAAGTAACTGATTTCTGTTTCCTAAAATTTCTGGTGAAAACAGTCAATATTTTGTTTAAATTCCATTAATAATAACTCTTTAAAAACATTAGCATTTAGTAACCTACATATGATGAAAATTAACATTTACATGTCAGTGATCAAGAGACATTTGAAAAACACAAATTCCTTGAGTCACTAAAAACATTCAATTATGTATACACACATACACACACACACACATATATTGCTAAATATCTTCACTTAGGAGTGACTAAATTATGTATAGGATAAATATCCCTTAAGAATAGAGACTGTATCTTAATGATGTTAGTATTCCTAGTTTGAGGTACAAAATCTGTCACATAGAAAACTTTTATGACTTGAAAATTGATGTATAAGATCATTCTACTTATTATAGTTTTTCTACAATTATAAAAAAGAAGATATATAGGGTCATTTTACTCATTTCTGAGATCAAATAATGACTATTTCATTTTCACATATTAAAAGATGTAAACAAATGTCTTAACAAATACACTGGCAACAGATATGGCTATAAAAATAGAAATTTGTAATGGCAACTGTCAAACATGAATATGTAAATAGGAAAGCAACACATAAAAAACTTAAACAGATTTGCAAGTCATTATTTCAACTCTTCAGAGCTATTAACATCTTTACCACCTTCCTATTTTCAGAGATATTGTATTTCCTAACATATTCATAAAAAAGTACAATAATGTACAAAAGAAAGAGTTTCCCTTTTTCTAAGGCTACAATATGCAACCCTTTCCTAAATGCCTGCAATGATAATTCAGAGCTATGGGTGGAGAAGGTTCTGTGGCTTGCATGAACCCATTCTCACTACTCAGAAGCAGGTGCCTGCTGAAACTGGGACCGTCATCATCAGCCCTGCCAGTAAATATATGTACATGTGAAACAGCACTCAGTAAATGTAGAGTCGAACATTCCACTATGGTCATGAATTTACACTGAAACATCCACACTCAATTTTGCCCAATACTCTGAGAAACAGGTACACTTTCTTTTTAGAAAACTGGACATGGTTAGGACTGCAGTCTTGGAATGGTGTGAAAATTACTGGTTCCTGCTGGTTATAAGTGTCTCTTTCTCCAGGAAGCTTTCCCTGTCTTTCCTCTACAATGCAGAGGGAGTGCTGCCCTCCTCTGCATTGTAACACCCTACACTGTCATTGGCACACTCTCAACAAAGTTTATGCCACCTGTCTGTTTTCCAGGCCATGTGCTCTTCAAAGGCAGGCCCATATCTCTGTCATTCACTAGTGTATCCGGCTGCCCGGCCAATAGCAAACTCTAAGTACTGATTTGTTAGAGGAAAAAATGATGGGGGCTTGCGGGAGGGAGGGGGACTTGGTCAGTAATTTGTCTTTCTGTTGCAATATTTTGTTCATTGTAAGCATGGTTTTATTCTTTCAGGATCCGTGACCCCTCCAACAGATCTACCACCCCACATTACAGAATCAGCATTTGGCACTCAATCATCTCCTCCCGAAAGCACATCTCCTGCAAGTAAGCATGCTTTCATTCTTTATTTTCCATGAGCAAATATTCCTTTAACCAAGTAGGCTGAAAAAAAAATTTAAGAAATTGGCATGTGTGTTCTTTACTATCTATGACATTTGAGGTAGAAATATTAAGGGATATTCTCATGACTTCCAGGCATTAACATAGATGCCTAAATCCTTCATTTGAGGTCCTGGCAAAATCAGGGTCAATAAACATTCAGTGAAAAGTTTAAATTCTGTGTTTATTATTAAGTAGATTAATAAAAGAATAGTCCTCCTCCTGGGTTCTCAGTGGGGTGTTTAAGAAATTGGTTATAAATGTGGATTCTGTGGGGTAAAGGTAGATAGATGGTTTTAAATTTAAATTTGACTTGGTTCAAATTGACTTTGACTTGGTTCTAATTGACTTTGACTTTGGTGAGGGCTCTGTCTCCAGCCTCCCAGTGGCCTTACTAATAATGGAAGTCAAGCTGGTCAGTGTTACTATGGCAGAGAAAAAAACAATGAACCAGAATTTGGCACTGATGTAACAAATAATATAATTCCTTTGTCTGTGGCCTATGTGTCTAACAAAGAACCATGATGACTTTCTCTAATACAAAAACTGTATAGTCTGTGAAGAGTAGAAGTAGTTTTCATTTCTAATTTAATTAAAAATATTCATTTTCATACAAAATGAGAAGGGAATGTGGGAATAAGCAATTCCTTTCATGGGAGCCATTGCCTTAAAGCCCTCAGTCACTGCCACAAGTTGATACCTCTCTGAAGCTAAAGCTTGTAGCAGGGTAGCAAATGCCTGCAGATTACTTATCAGAAGTTTTACACATATCTTATTTTTCCTAGTTTTGTTGGTTTTTTTTTTTGGGGGGGGGGAGCTTCTTTCCCTCTCTTGTCTAACTCATTATACAGCGATAAACATTGTAGTCTACAAGTCTCCATCAATAAATAAATAGCATATTCAAAATGAATACCTTAAATTTCTATAGTAGTGTGTAGTAGCTATCTATTACTGCATACCAAATTATCCCCCAGATTTAGCAACTGATAAAGCAGGTATTGTCTCATGTGGTTTTTAAGGGTCAGCACCCCAGGAGCCCTTTAACTGGGTGCAGGTTTAGTTTCCTTCATGAGGCTGGGGCTGCAGTCACTTGAAGGCATAACAGGGATGAGGCTGTAGCTTCCGAGCTTGTTGGAGGAAGGGAGTCCCTCCCCAGGTGGGCCTCCCCATCTGGCAGCCCTCAATTTGGTCACTGGCTTCCCCAGACCAAGTTGTTCAAGAAATAAAGTGACCAATACAAACCCACATGCCATCTTGTGGTCTCCAAAACCATAAGCCATCGCTCTTCTGTTAGGAGTGAGTCACTTAGTCCTACACATACTCAAGAGGAAGAAAATTAATTTCCATTTCTTGAAAATAAGAATACCAAAGAGCTTGTGAACAAATTTCCTGTCACTTAACAACTTATTTGCACACAAAATAAAATACTCTTTGTTATAAGAAGTAGAGTAAGCATTATCATTCCAGATGTAGTCACTGAGATGCTAAGAGTTTCAGTGATCACAAGACTCGGAAGTGACAAAATCAGTGTTCACATCAATGTCTTTTATCTCTAGATACAATTCTCACTACCTTAAATACCATTCTTTGCCAACTGATTAAGCACTTTATGAGGACAGGGGTTAAGTACCTTTTTGCCTCCTACCACATGCCTAGCAGAGTGATCACACAAAAGAAATTTAGTTGAACAAGTGAAAGAATTAAAAAACTATGAGAATAAATGTTCCTTTACTATGTGAGTGATTTAAGAGACCCTATAGTGTTGAAAAATGATCTTTTGTGTCTGTGTTCAAAATGATTGCAGTGTCTTTGGAAAAAGGTCAAACATACATGACAATGACCTTTCAAAGTAGTAGGGAAAGGTGCTGCATCTTATAGAATTCAGTGCTCAGGGAGAGGAACAGACCACTAAGTCCTCGGCTTTGAGTAAGGAAATGGCTGTGGAGACAGGAGATACTACCTAAAAGAATTGCAATACATTGAATTGTATATTGTATTCATTTGACTCAGTTGAGAGCTTGAGAAATATTCTCAATAAAGTGTACAGTTGTAATATGGTAAAGATGCTCATGAGTATTTGAGAAAACATAAGTAGCTAAGTTGGATTAATGGGATGGGAAGATTAGAAAATGTAGAAAAAAGAATTTTAAGTCCAAATACAAGGATTCTAAATGTTATCCCTTAAGAAATGGAGCGGGAACCCCATAGAACATTTTTTTGTTTGTTTAGAAATCATTCACCAAATATTTATGGAGCACTTAATCTGTTCTAGTGTACCAGATTCTCTTCTAGGTGCTGGGAATATAATGGTGGACCAAAGAGGGTGAGTCATGCTGCCATGGCATATGTAATCCTGCCAACTGACAGCTGAAATACATTTCTTCTAGCTGAAGAGTGTATGGGGTTAGCTGACATTAAACGCTTCCATCAGACCAAATGCAATTCTGATTTTGATGAAGAAATTCTAGGAGAAGGAAGGCATGTTGTTATGCTTAATGAGCTTATCGTCTAATATAACTGTTTTAATAGCGAGAGGAAGAGAATACAAGCAAATAAATTTTTTTGTTGTTGTTAAAAAACAAACATGCTATCTGATTTGCTCAAAACTAAGGATATATACTTGAGAAATTTCTAGAGAACATGGGATCTCAGGACTCTTTAGATTGTCTAGACTCCTCAGAGCTAATTATCAATGTCTGGGGATGCCACTATTGGGGGGAGAGGGGTGCTCCTGGCACCTAATATGATGCTAAAATTTTTGTGTTTTTTTTTATTTTACAGAAGTTTATTTTTACATCATTTTGTACATTTTTTTTCCATCTCAATTGTAATCCCCGTGGGTTTCCCATCATGCTGCTAAAATTTTTACAACACAGAACAGTAGAGCCTCCACAATAAAGAATCACCTGGGTCAAAATACCACTGGTGCTGTGGTTGAAAAAATGCTGTGTTTGATCCAGGCTCAGGTGTAATAAAAGTTTTCTTACTTTACAAAATCAGACTTTTCTCAAAGTCAGGTTATTTTATGAACAATTTCAGCCGATTTATATCTCAAATCCATGGTTGATTTTATCTAAATTTTACCTTCTTACAATAATCACTGAAGTATTACTGAAACATCCAAATTTGGCCTTGGCAACCTGAGGGTAATTGTGAAATCACATGATGACAGGTTACCTCTGCAGCTAGTACCCTGGTGTGTTCATTTCAGAGAGGAAGCCAGACAGAACATGTCATGGAAATCAACTTCAAAAGACTGTTTTTATTCCAAACTGTAGGAGCTGTATAAGTCAGCAGTGATTATTAAAATACATAGGCAATTTGTATGATTTCCCTCAATAAAAAGATATTTTGAAACCAGAGGTTGAACATGATGGAAACAATACATTCTCTAACTAGAGATGGGCAATCATGCGACTCATAACCAACTGCAAGAGTTAACCAGGGAAGCCCAGCTCAATTCAGCCTGAACTAATTGGTGTTGGCTGAATCTCAGCTGCATTTTCAGTCAGTCTTAGGAAAAGACATAGGACTGCCAAGCTAAGTGGCAAGATGAGACCCATGATAAGTCCAGTGTGGGCACTGCAAGCAGAACTTGGGAGCCGCTGTTGCCCAGAGGAGCTTCTTTTCACTGGCTATGAGCTGTATACATGCTATGTAGTGGAGAGAGCAGACCCCAGAATGCGGCAAGTATCCAAGACGATCACTCATTCAGCAAACATTAAATGCCTATTGTGTGCCCTGGATTTTTGAGGTGCTAGAATTACAAAGACAAGACAAGGCAGGGTGCCAGCTCCCCAGAGTGGGTGTAGCAAAACCCACTCCTTGTCTCCCATTCCTCTGCTCACTAAGTCACAGACCTTTGGTGTGCCTCCAACTTTTATTTCTACACACCTGATTTTATGTCTTGGACTTGATGACCTTGATTTCCATACTAAGCCCTCTTTAAAACCTCGTGTAATTCTGTGTAGATCTCTTTACTCCTGGAAACTTCGGATAAAATGCAAGGTCCAGTCTGACTCTAGCTATTGGCCGGTTCCTTCAAGGGAAGACACCTGATCCTTGATGTGTGGGGGCCAGTGGGGGACCAGACTAAAACAAGCAGCTGCCTGAGGGTTTCAGTGAAGCCACTAACTTAAGGGAAGTGTGACAGAACTGGGTGGGGACCAACCTGGAGGATTTGCTGGGCTGGATGTGGTGGGTTGAGTACAAATCACAAGGCAACCGGTCAGAGGATCCCTTGTAGGTCTGGATACTGGGTTTTAAAATTAAGAAGGGGAGCCCAAGAGAGGGTCTCTAGTAACAATCCTGCAGGCTGGTAAGTCAGGGGGACTGGGGAGCTCAGAAACTGGCAAGCCTCCTAGCCCCCAGTAAATCTTTACACTCCCACTCTTTCTCTGGGCTCTCTCTGGCACTCTTTCTCCTGCGTCTCTCATGGTGTCATCTCCTTTGTGGCCACCCTGCTTATTTGTTCCCCCTCTGCTGCTGCTGTTTTTATCTCCACCCGTAGGCTCAACTGTGCACACTTGCACATGTGCACACACCCATGTTCCAGGTGTCCACAATCAGGCACCATGCCCCGTGCCCACAGATCAGGCACACATGTCCTGAACCCACACTCCTTCTACATTAACAGACTCAGGCCTCGGTGACAGCCACCGAAGCTAGTGGTGTAAAAAGCCTAATTAACTCATTTACCCTGCAGAGTCTTCAGGCAGTGGGAAAACCAGTGTTTTTTCTGTGACAGCAACTTCTGGCCTCTTATTGGTCATGCAGTGCCTGTCTGCAGATGTCAGGATACCTCTGTTGCTGCCTGATATCTTATCAGACACTGAAAAGTCAAAAAAATAAATAAATAAAAGCTAGTGTGTGCTGGGGAAGTCTCCTCAGAGCTCTGGAAGGAAATAGACTGCCAGCACAGACATGAAAGGAGAAGTGATCTTTAG